AAGATAGACGCAGTGGAGACTGGAGCTATTTGACTAACAATCGGCGTGAGCAGTGAAGCACGTTCATTTTCCCACCACATCTATCTTGTTCGTATCCGCAATACCAAGTCTATAATTTGCTATGCTTGTGTGTAAACCCACAAACGTGGTTCAACATTGAACCTAATCAAAGAAAGCAGTATCACAACATGTATACAATGGACTACTGACTAGGTGTGTTCCTCTAAGTCTTCCTACAAATATGACCAAGTTGCAAAAACAAGGTCTAACAACTTCTAGACAACGGATGAAGACTGCGACCACACGAAAGGCCACACCATCCTGGTCTTCGCATCTTCGATTAAAGATATGTAGCCTCCAACACCTATGTATCTTATTTTTAACTGAAAATGCTCGTATATATCAAAACTATCTGCTTCGGAAAGCACTATTTTGATCTTAGTATTGCTATAATTTCTGAGGTGATTTTTAAAATCTTAATGATACTCTGATACCTAAATGCCTATCGTCATTACACTTTTAACTTGATAGAATGATATCGCATAAGTTATCTTAAGAGAGAAATCTATCAAGCCAAAAGCCACACGACCTTGGCTTTAACATTCCACTTTCAAATCTATTTCTAATTTATTGTAATTTAACAAAATCCTCCAAATTGATAACACCTGTCAGTGTATAATTCCATTTAAGGCTCTGCCCAAAGAATGCAATTTGTTGTGCTTTCTAAAGCCATTTATTGACCAAATCATTAGATGCTTTTTCAAGATCCCTTTCAGTTCGATGAGACAAAATTATTTTCTCAGGCTAATCGAACTGACAGGTACTTTCGAAAAAATCGAACAGTTCACTTCCCCGGGCATTAATTTTGTTGTCCCTACATCATGACAAAGCAGATTCAAGAATCCCTTTACCTGCCTTTGAAAACGTAGTGAAAGAGATCCTTAAAAAGCCAATTCCTTTCCATAAATAGCAGATACTTATGCATTGTTTAGCAACCTATGGAGGATTGAAAAAGTAGCTTATCGAAAGCTTTCTTATGCTTCCATTATTGCTTCCTGTCTCCCTCAATAAAGGCGTGCTAGTCCGCAAACATTAACTTTGGCTTCTTCGCGGATGGCTGGAATGTGTCAATACAAAACTTCTTTGTGTGGTTGGAGTTTTTTTCGTTGTATATAAGTAATTTGACCTTGTTTTCGCAATTAGGTTATATTGGTATGAATACTTAGAGGAACGCACCTAGTCCTGAGTCCATTATATGCATGATAATTTCTAGAGTCGGACAGGACGTGGTACATTCCCAGACATTTCGCCGGCATGATCAGTAGGTCCTGCCATTCTTAGCATCACACTACAACTCGCCAAATGGACGATTGAAGCTGATTCTTTGACTAACTGTCTTCTAAATAATCGTGGTATCTCTCCTTACCCCTAGGCTAATCACCAATCCTACATCCTAATATCACCAGAAAATTTTTTTACTTGCTTAATTAAATGTGGTATGGCGCGGCTTTCATGATAACTCTCCACACCACGCTTGCCTTCTCACTTTTCCTCATCCTTGTGCTGGGAATGCCATATTTTCACGCAGTTCTCCTTCCCTAGGTCTTAGCAGAGTCTCTCTTGCCCCGTAGGATCCGTCTGCTATTTCCCTAGTTCAAGTACTATACTCGACCCATGCCACCTCATCTGTGCTCCACGAGGCGTTATTTCTCCCACTCTGCGTTTGGGAGACTAACTTGAGGCTAAACCCCCTGAATAGTTTTCATGTTAATCCTTTGTTTCATGGATCATAGTAAATTTGCATTTAAGGTGGCCAAACCAAACTTAATATGAGATTCACCGGGCTGAAACAGGAAATGGGCCAGGTCCGAGACAGCCTTTTGGGCGTAGTCTCAGACTCAACTTGGAGCACTATCGAACTCCATGTATTGTTGCAGTTGATGACGTGATAGGCCCACAGAATTAGTTATAATATTTTCGTTGAGACATGAATGGTTATGCACGGATAATGGCTCTGGAAGATTCGAATGCAGAACTACTAAAATCGAATTGCATTGTCTGCTTGAGTAAGTTAGGAATGAATACACCTCTCGAAACAAAACAAGGCAGAAGCACTAGCAGAAAGAAGCCAAGGCGATTAAGGAAGAATATTTTTCTGACAAGGAAGTGCAAATTCCTCATCACATGCTTTCACAGGACTCACGAGTCGATAGGACGACAAGTCTCTCCAACATAAAAGCAACCACATGAACACATTATGTTATAGCAACCCGATCTGGATAGTGAGTCAAATTCCTCTCTAAAAGTGGACATAACTTAGAATTAGCAAACAATGTGCTCTTGCCGTACAAGTAGGTATTTGTAGTATAGGTATAGCTGCTTTAAGAGCCTAAGACTCAAGTAACAAAAATATTGAGCGAAAGGAGGCCTAAGGAGCAGTTGGGGTGACAATAAATAAAAGACATGACAAGGCGTTGTGTGAAGCCTCCATCTGATGCGAAAGCCGACCTTCATCCCTATTTCTCTTCGACCTGTCAACTGAGGCTGGCCCCTCATTGCTATCCAATATCGCTGGAGTTTCGACAAAGATCAAGATGAGATCTCGCAATAGGGCTAACTTTAGGGTGGCTTAATTTTAATGGATGCTCCAAAATTAATCAGCACGAGCATGAAAGTTATAGACGAGCGACAAAAGAGATGACTTATGAAGGGCTACTCGATCCCCACTCGGCTAAGATAGACTGAAATAATACTTAAAAGAACCTAATTAAGCAGACGGGAGTTGAATCCATTTAAAGTTAAGCCAGGGGTCACCAGCATCGAGGGTTACAGTCTACGGACAAGAAGATGCGATAGAATACAATGCAATACCAACTGTATTATAGTGTGCGTCCATATGAACTGCTTTAAAAGGACTAATTTATTTCATGCTTAAATAGTGCCTTCGAAGGAGTTACTTTCCAGAGCTATAGACGCGAACTGTCGGTCCTTGCACGTCCTCCTCAGTCGTCTTACCGTCGATGCCCTGGCCGGCGTACGTGATCATTAGATCGACGAAGAGTTCTTCGGGAGTTTTCACCAAAAGGTCGAAAAATCTGAAGGGGAAGATAAAAGCATTATTTAGCGGAAATTGTCTTCATAAAAAGGCACACATCTATAAGGGGTTGCACGTTTGAATTTTGACTGTGGATGTGGGGCACTGCTAACATTGATGGAGCAGATCAGTTGGGTAAAAGTGCTGTTTACCGCTGCACAATAAAATGCGCCTGTGGTCATTTTTAACCTTTTTTTGTCAAGGTTTGGCGTGTTCAAAAAGCTTCAATCAGAATCCTGGACCATGACAGACAAAAGATAAGAAAGGATATCAGACTTGAGGGTATAAGAGGCATTATAATGCAGGATTAATAGGCAACCAAAGGTAAGAAGGATTATAGAATGAAAAATTTACTAACCAAATAAATAGTAATGAGCAAGAAAGAAATCAATGTTCTGCTTTCTAGATTAAAAGATTAGTAATATCATCAAGAATTTACAATGAAAGAAATGTAATTGAAAAAGTTTAGTGGAGATCATAAATGCTTCCAAAAGGAATAGAAATGGAGACGGAGTTGGAAATTATTCCGAAACAGAGAAAGCAAATAATTCTACAGGCTGAGAAATAAGTAGTGATTGACAAGAAATAGTAAGCATAAAAATGTAAGGTGTCCGATGGTGCATCCCAATTTATTGATTTCTAACAAAGGACCATCCAACGAAAATCAAGGTATCACTACAGAGGATGCTGAAATAAATGAATAACGGTAACATTTATGGGCGGACAATCTTCTCGTTATTACGAGAGAACATGATCAGACAGCAAAGGATTGCGAGGATTTAAAGGGTAGATTAGTCACTAGGGTTGATAGTCACCTAAAGGCATAGAGAAGCAATGCAATCTGGCTAAATTCATCTGCTTTCGACTAAATAGTATAATGAAAGGATGCCGAGTAGAGGCTTGAGGAATAATGTAGTTTGTAAGCCTTTATGTGCAATCCGTGTACGAATATCTCTGAAGGGAAAACATTCGCGACCCTGCTGGAGGTCTTGCCAAGCCAATCACTTCGCATTCAACGATCGCATATTTTAACAAATATTTGGTATGCCTAAGGAATCAGTACCCACAACTCTTTTGGCTAACTTGCACACGAACAAGTTGGAGGAAATAAGAATGTTACCACAGCAGCTAATACAGGCTACACGATACTTGGATAACTACTTCGCACTCTGGTCGTATGAAAAAGGAAAATTGGATCTTTCTCATATCCTCAAACGACTTTGCAGGGGCCATCCAAAATGGATGTTTCGGATGAGGAAATTATTCCATCTAAGAAGGCCCCTAAAGGTTGTTGAGAGAGAGCTCCCACACGATAATAATATCTAATTTCAACTTGTAATTACAGAGAGTAAGATCACAAGACGACAAAGGCTTACTGGAATTAAATTCTGGGAAGACCAATTCGACCTAGTAGCTAGATCGTGGCTCAGGTGCGGAAATAACGGAATAAATTATTCTGACCCGCCTCAACTACAACTGAAATGCAGATGAAAGAATTTTCCAATATAGGGAAAAAACAAGCCGTGAGCAGCCTATTTTAATGAAATCTAAAGGGAACCGGGAATCTCGCCTAGTATCAAGACAAACTTGTGGTGACTTCTACTCCATGGTCAGTTTAAATACATTTCTTGTCACAACCGGAAAGTAAGTAGTTATGTCTCAACTCACGTGAAGTCACCCGAAGCCAGAAGAAAGTTGATAAGAATTCATGCCATGTGAACGTAATATATGCGAAGAAAAGTTGGGTTTCGAGGAATCTCTTGTTTCATAATTGTTGAGCCTACTTCCATTTCGAGTGAAAGTGTTGTGTGAAGAGATTCGAAGGTCGATTCCACAAGAAGACTACGGCGGATTCCTCTTGACCAGCTGTCGATTGGCTTTACTGGAACATTCATGCTAACGCTGTTTCCGAGGTAGTCTCCTTAGATTCTGATCAAAAGGCGCTAAGCTTTCGTCCGTCATGATCAGAGCAAGGTATCATCGTCACAACAAAATTCAAGCTAACGAGTCAAGAAAACTCATCGGAAACCCCCTAAAAAGTGGTATATATACTCTACATCTGGCCTCTGATCAATCGGAGTGATGGTTATAACATGTATGTAGAAAGGGGAGATAGGGTCATCAAACTTTGATGGCCGAAAACAGACGGTACTTTTTGCTGTCCTAATTACTTTGAGCCATCACTGCAGGTTTCGTGCATAAGCGAACACAAGCAGGCACAAACACACTTACATACTTCGAAGTTGATATATGACCGTAACTAACCAAATCACCTTATACTTTTCGTCATGACGGACGAAAGCTTAGCACCTTTTCCCCGGAATCTGAGGAGATTACCTTGGAAACAGCGTCAGGATGAATGTTTCAGTAAAGCCAATCGACTGAGGAATCCGCCGTAGTCTTCTTGTGGAATCGACCTTCGAATCTCTTCACACAACACTTTCACTTGAAATGTAAGTAGGCTCAATAATTATGAAATTAGAGATTGCTCGAAACCCAACTTTTCTTCGCATATATTACGTACGTATGGCATGAATTCTTATCAACTTTCTTTTGGCTATACGAAAACCAAGAAAGCTATATCCCAGCAAATAAATACTATTAGATTTTGAAAAATTTGTAGTTCACATATTGCAGTTCCTAGATATTGTATTCTTGGTACCTATTTTCACTAATAGGAAACTGGAGCGTGTATCAGGTGGTTTGGTTAAGACTAGATTCAAAGAAAGCATAGAC